GTATTCTGTCTGTTACCTGCAGTCTGTTGGTGCTTTATGTCACGTATAATTCAAATTAATCAAATGAGAAGGATCAAAAATTTTCTAAATGCAAAAGGAAGAACTAATAGTGAGATTAGGATTCAATAGCCTGCACTGAAAAACTTGATGGGATTAATAAGTATTATTCATGAAGAAAGGAAAACTAACAGCAGTTTCTTAATAATCTTTTTTTTTCTTTTGCATTAAGGAGAGTTTTAAAAGGGAATGGAGTATTTATTCTTAATCAACAGGTCCAAATGACTCCCGTTCTTCAGCTTTGTGGGGGAGAGTGAACATGCAGCCATGTGATCATCCTGCACACATGACAGAGATTGATGAAGGCCTCACATGACACACCAAGTTATGAAAGTATGCAATGGAGGAAGGATAACATGCCAATCAGCAACCTGAAACTCCACTCCTAAAACATAAAAAAAAATAAAAGACTATGAATAGGTCAGATCCAACTGAAAGTTTTGCAACGTAGCATGCATGCTATCAGATTCTATTTATGTGGCAAGTTCCTATCAATAAGCGGAAATAAATTATATCTTGCATTAATTATGTTGGGAAAAATACATTGATATGTAATATCATAAACCTGATTTTATCTTGCATATTTAAAAGAACTACAAGAGCAAAAACTTATCAGTGGGTTTATTTTACACAAGTCAAGAGGGCAGGTTTCCCACAGCCAGCCAAATCAGTATGGGCAGAGAGGACAGTGCTACTGATGGATAAGACCTGTGACCGGCTGGAGGATAAGCCCAAGGCTCTTGGTGAAATGTACAGTATGCCGGCCTGGATCAGGTGCTCAGCCCAGAAAGAGGAGAGGCTTTCCTACGGGGGTCATCCAACCTGATGCCCTCTATGGTATTCTGGAAGCTACAGTGATGTGGTCTGTCTGAGTTTTTGGTGGGTAAGACATTAAGCTTTAATTTACTGCTTGGCAACAATTAAACTGAAACATCTAGATCTATGAAGTATAGTCCACCAACCCCCATCCAACCAATCCAATGGTAACAACATATTGTGCTACCAGGTGTATTATTCAAATATCGCTCCAACAAATCCTGTTAATCACCAGATTTCCTCTAATCCGTTATCTCTGTTAGAAGCTCCCATGTTTTTATTCAACTATTAACACCCCCCACCCCCAATCAGAGCAGTTTCAAGCTTGATGAATGAGGAGGTATGGAGAACACAGCTGACCACTGAGTTAACAGAATTGCCTGCTGACTGACTGTTTGCTCTAGGACTGATGCCAGGCACCCAACCCCCTTTATCCCACATACACACACACAGAGCATTTATATTGTTGGTGCAGACCATGGCACCTTTACAATCACGGGACACGCTCTGGCACAGACGCAGGCCAAAGTGCAAGAACCACCACATGGAGGTGAAACTTTGAGGTCTGCTGGTAATTATATCCACATTTAGATCCATGGTGGGAGCATTATGTTTCACTGAAAAGGTATTTACAACTAAAAAGAGCACTTTCCCCTTAGTGGCACGCCTGACCCTGAATGAGAATGTGTGCAAGAACATACCAATGTGTATAGAGCCTGCAAATCAACTTGGGGAGTATTGAGTTTCCTGCTAAGCAGCTCTGTGACACACTGCTCATCATACACAAGTACAACCTTATTAAGTACCTCCACAGCTTGTTTTTGGATTGTAACGTTACAGTCTTCTCCAAATTTGCAGAATGCATCTCTGATGTAAATGAAATCTTATGAACCTTGCCTGTTTACTTTTATTTTATTATTAAAAGGGAGTGGCAGCCTAGTGGTTAGGGCATAGAGCTTGGAACCCTGAGGTGGTGAATTTGAAATCCACTCCCACAGATTGCCACTCTGGGTCTCTGAACAAGACCCTTAACCCCCAATTGTTCCCCAGGCGCCACACGATGGCAGCCCACTGCTCCCCAAGGGGATGGGTTAAATGTAGAGGTAAATTTCTCCAATGTGAGATAAATAAAATTCAATTAGTACATTTATTATTATTTACCTTTCTTGTGTTCACTTCATTCCCCCTTTAAAGTGGAAAATTATTATTCCATCGCATTTGAGTCAACTAGAGCTACATTGATCAGATACCCAGGTTGGAAATTAGCTCCAATATTGACTATTGATGCCAAACTAGTCACTTTGGTTCTATTTGCAGTGCCGGTTCAATCATCACGAAGAATCTATAGGAGCTAGGGATGATTCATATCTTTAAATTTATCTTTTTTTGAACAATATTTATGTCAGGCCTTCACTCATGTGGCAAGGTATAGAAACATTAACAAGCACATCCAACATCACTTTGCAAAAACTTGAAAGTTATAAAACATACATTTATGGTAACATAATGTTGAGAAAAAACAATGAATAAGAAAAACAGAGGACTAGGCATGGGCTATGGCCCTATGTGAAAATGTAATGGGCCCCTAAACTTGAGATCTGGTTGTCTCAATCTTGGTGGCTAAAGGTGCCATCAAGGATTTGAAAAATCTTGCAATAAGCATTTTCTATTCCTCTAGAGCAGGCATCCCCAAACTAGGTCCTCGAGGGCCGCTGTCCTGCAGGTTTTAAGGGTTTCCCTGCTTTAGCACAGCTGATTATCATGAATGCAGTAGAGCAGAAGCCTGTTAATCAGCTTTCAATTAAAATCAGCTGTGCTGGAGCAAGGAAATCTCTAAAACCTCCAGGACAGCGGCCCTCGAGGACCGAGTTTGGGGATGCCTGCTCTAGAGGAATACGGGTCTGTTCTTTTTAAAAGAATCATTTAAATTTGGACACACTGGAGGAAATTTAAGCACCGAAACATTTTGGGGTCAGTGCACGTCATCGCTATAGAGTTAAAGTTTGGAGTTCAACTACATCACTCTAAAACTTTCAGTTTTCTTTGCCAATCAGGGGTAGACTGGCTGATACATTCTGGAGTCCCTTTCATAACCCAATTGCACTGCACACAATAATGGCCAAATATTCTTTCCCATTTTCTGGGCCACTGAAATATTCACTGTCAATCATGTAAAGCAGATCTTCCAGGTGCTAAAACAGCAAATCAGGCAAAAACCATCAAAAACTCAGTCATTATAATTTATTTTATGGTTTTTGTCTCATAAAACTCAAAATGCCATTTTAGCTCATGCCATATTAACAATAATGTTAACGGAGGCTATACAGTGCATATGATCTTGTACCAATTTCTTTTATGACCTTGAGGATCAGTTCATTAATTCTAGTCAGTTAATTGTAGTAACGCAGCTTATCAGAGGTGGGTGTATAATTTTGCATGTTTTCAGCATTTAAGGATAAGCAATTTGTCATGTCTATGAGGAGATATTCCAAAAGCTTAGCCCGTCAGCTGTTCCCGATTTTTTGTAGATTGGGGAATGAAGCAGTACTTCATATATTTTATCATAATCGATTTAAGGCATTTACCAATTCGTCATGTCTAGCAGAAATCAGACATCAGCTTGAAAATTAAATTCAATCAGTTAAATCATTTATTATATGATTTAACTAGTGTGCACTTAGGGCTGAAACAATTTATCTGATTAATCTCAATTTATTTATTATTGAAATAATTTTTAACTAATTTAGTACAGATTAATCGTTAACTGAAGAATAGAGACTCTAAAACCTGCCTTTAGCTTACAGAGCAACCACTTTAGAGTAGTAACTATACGAAAATTGTAAAAAGATTTTAACATATTTTGCATTTAGGATTTAAAAAAAAAGATCTTGGTTTGTCAATATTTTCTACCCATAGTTTCACATGGTTTACTTCTGTAAAAAAAAAAAAAAAAAAAAAAAAAACTGCTAGTATGCTCTATCCAGAACATCTCAAGTGGAAAGGTTTTAGTTTTACCTGATTTATTTTTGTCTTAAATCTTTAAGGAACTTTTTGCTTTCTGATTATTAATTGAAAAAATAAAAATAACTGACAGATTAATCAATTAGCAACAAAATCTTTAGTATCATCCCTAGTGCAATTGCTGCTTTACATTTTGGTGCAGTTTTTTTTCCCTCCTTAGTAATTAAAACCTCTATAAGCTTTTTCTTAATTCACTAGAGTTTGCCAACGTAACATGCGTTTGATAAAACATTTTAAAGTGAAGAAACCCAAGTAAATCTAAGAGCACAGACACCTGCAGCACAGAATATTGCATTTTTAGTAACTTATACTGAAGTTAAAAACAACAACAAACAGCTGCATTGTTTTTACGCGGTGTAGCCACGTGGCTGCATATCTCAACATTGTTGAAAATTAAACATTGACGATGTAAACACTGAGTATAGATAGAGATGCATGATATGAGATTAGCTTAAGTGGAGCAATCACATACTGCTCACCGCTATACCACAGCACACTGTGTCCTCTGCTGCCTTTCTGAACGCACTGGCAGGAAGAAAAAACATAAACCAGGAGCAACATGTATTTTTCTCCATAAAAGAACAAAAGCAGCTAAACTTAAATAGAACAAAAAATGTTCCATAACAACCCAAACCCACGGTGGAGGGGAGGTGACTTGGGAAACACGAGGAGAAACAAAGAGCAGACAGCCAATTCTGGATCTCCCACCACATTTAGCCGCTAGAAATAAAACTTTAAAACGCACAATATTCAATGGCAGCTTCTGATAAATAGACGCGCTAATATAATTCAGTAAATGAGAAAAAAAAAAACGGTTGCTAAGGAATGAAGACACCATCACAGCGCGTGCAGCAGCCTGAGTCTCCGCTAGCATTAGCAAGTTAGCTCGGCGTAACAGCAGGAACAACACGTCTCCCACGTCTTCACCAAGTTTGCCTTGTACGGTTGACATAACTAAAATATAAATATCTATTAGCCACACTCCATTCTTCGTTGTGAATCTTCAAAAACAACGACACGCCCACACAACAAAGCTAAAAATCTGAAATAAAATTAGCGTAGCCAACGTTACACACAGACATAAAAGACAAAAAAAAAAGATGTACCTGAAAGCTGGGCCCTCCTTGCTACATCTCGGTGGGGGAGACAACGCATTTTTCTTGTTAAAAAGTTTGTGAAAGAGAGTCGGTGGCATTTTTGTACCAAAAATAAATTCGGTACACGCTTTCTTTTGTTTTCACATCCAGGAGCGAATCTCGTTCCTTGTAACTGTCTCCATGGGTGTCAGAGTCATATGACAGGCATTAGTCACAGGGGCTGCTTGGTAACCTGTTAGCTTTTTTCTGATTGGTCAGCTGCTTGCGCGGCTTTTAGGACGGAATTAAATGATTGGCTGATATTTTTGGTGAGGTAACCATGTGGTACGTGTGCTCAGTGTTGATGTTTTGTGGGGAATTGTGTTGGTGTAAAATGTACTTCAAAAATAATCTAGAGCCGGCTTTGGAACAGCTAGAAACGCTGGCATTCATCTGCACATAATAGATTATATATTATATCAGTATAAGTAACACAATATTTTAAAACGATAAACAGTAACTGTAAAAATGTGCAAATTGCAGAATAGGACTCATACGTTTAGCACATTTAACATTTCTTTTATTATTTGAAATAACCTATAGAAGAATAAGCAACACAAAGCATAGATTCCAATACATTTAAGCATAAATATAACAAGTACAAGCACACACATTATACATATATATTGTTTTCCCACAAAACGTTTAAGTTACGTGCATTTTCTCAAAGGGTTATTATTAACAAGTGTGCCATCTAGTGGCCTTTCTTATGAATATACATTTTAATTAGACTTACTTAGACAAACTTTATTATAATTAATTACATCAATATTTACCAGAAACATAAAATAAAACACCTATTTCCAACATCTATTCCCTTTAAATATTTCCATCCATCCACTCCTCAGTCTATTACTGTCATACACTTCCCCCCCATACTAGTCTGAATTAACTGCAGGTTAACTCTACAGGTTTTCCTTCTCTAATATTAAAGGAAAGAAAACAGCATTTCTTAGTTTCTCGCATCTTTCCCTCATCTTTTGAAAATAGGCTTCCTCTTCGCTCTTATCCACAAAGTGAAAGAACCTCGCTTTCTGTGGCCTGTTTAGAGTCCCACAAAAAGGTAATGTTTCATCTTCAGCGCTGCTCATTCCTGTTCTGGAATTGCTGAAGTTTTTGCTGCTTCGTGTGATGTCTTTGTCTATTTGAATCTCAGATGTGATGGGGCTTTTGAACCAAACCTTCTTTCTAGGGAGAATGGGCTCTCTCTCTGAAAGCTAGGGAAAGGATCAACATTTGAATGACCATGAATCTTATAAATTTCAATAAGTGGAAAAAAATGTTTAAAACTTACTTTTGTTATGTTTAGAGTTTTCTTCTCATCTGCACATAAAAAAATTAAATAATGCAGTATTATAGAAAATACGGTTCCTAAATACGGTTCCTAATAAATTAACTTGGCATGTTACCTGATTTACATGAGCTTTTGTTTGTTTTACTTTCATCTTCAGGATTTTTGTGGCAGCTAGACAGAAAAAAAGATAAAAATAAAAGTGTTAGTCATTCACGTTATAGTCTTAGTTCTCAGTCAAGTTTCTTTTATAGATGTACAATTGAAAAATATTGAGATGAATCCCATCAGATTCTAATTTGATTTAATTTTAATTTAATTTGATTCATCGGTTTAAGTATTATTAGTCTCTGACGGATTAATTGCTAATAAATCTGATTTTATAAAATCACTAAATGCCTTCATGCAAAGAACTCCAGATACCTCAATGGGTGACAAAAAACAATGATGATATTGGCAAAGTTCTTTCTTTGTATCTGCAAATGGTCAGTTTTTCCTTTTTCTCAAGCAGGCCAGAGATATATTGTAGGGGAGGGGGGTTGCTGATTTAACCAAACTAAATTTTATCTGGATATTCCATTCTTCTGGAAGGAGTTCGGACAGACCATGGAGAAAAACTAATGGTAAGCCTCAAAGCGATTCTGCCAGATTTTGTGGTGCCTCCTGACGTGGACGCAGTGCTCCGCTAAAGCCCATATTCCACATCTTCTGTTCCTCTAGGCATATGTTCCACTGCAGACCACCTTTACAATTCTGTGAAAAGCAACGCATATTATATCCGAGGTAACACCACCAAGCTCTGCACCAAGTTCTTTGAAGCCCAAAGAGAACAAGCGCAAGAGCCAGGCGGACCAGAGCAGAGTAGAAAATTGGCGTTTTTCCATTATTTGATAAACGATGGACCAATAGATGGTGCACTCCGAATAGAAAGGGTCAATATGGAACAGTTCTTGTGAATTAACATAGCAACAGAGTTGGTCTGTAGGGTGGACATGAGCAGAGCAGAATAATCACCTAGGAAGTGCAATCTGGGGGTAACAGTGTCTACAGTGAGAAGGGGAAGCTGTTAACTCCAACTGTGGACATCGTCAGGCAGTGGAAGGAATACTTTGAGGATCTCAACCCAGATTTGACAGCTTACCTGGAAGCAGAAAATGAATGCCTAAGGTCGGACCTGTTCATCACTAAGGAAGCAGTTACTGAGGTGGTCAAAAGATGTCATGGTGGCAAAGCTTAGGGGGCTTGATGAGATCCACCTAGAGTACCTCAGGTCTCTGAATTCAGTGCGCCTGCTGTGCTCGACACGCCTCTTCAACATCACATGAACATAGCTTTTGGTTGTACCAGTCCAGGGATGATGCCCCTGGCCTGGTAGACCAAGGCTCCCCTTTACAAGAAGAGGAGTTGGAGGGTGTGTTCTAGCAAAAGGGGATCCCACTTCACATGGCCTATGCATGCAGAGTGAGAGTAGAGTCTGGCTGATCTTTGATCCTCGGCTTCAGGAAGCAGTGCACTTTTTGTTCCAGCCAGGGAACACTGGATCAGCTCTACACCCTCCACAGGATTCACGGAAGTTTGTACAACTGCTTTTCATGTGCTTTGTGGACCTACAGAAGACATTCAACCATGTCCCTGTTGGTGCCCTGTGGGGGGGCACTCCAGGAGAACGTAGTTGGGGGCCCTTTATTACGGGCAATCCCGTCTCTGTAGAAAAGGGGCAGGAGTCTAGGCAGTATTGCAGGCATTAAGTCGGACCTGTTCCCAGTACATGTTGGACTCCAGCAGGGGTTCCCTCTGCAATGGGTTCTGTTTATAACTTTTATGGACAGGATTTGTAGGTGCAGCCAAGGGTCAGAGGGGGCCTGATCAGGAGATCACCAGATTTGGTCTCTGCTCTTTTTGGAAGATATGGTACTGCTGGGTCCCTCCAGCCAAGACCTACAGCACTGAGTTAGTTGAATCTAAATTCAGATAATGCATAAACTGGAATAATCTTGTACTCTTGCCATTTTCTATTAGATTCCAAATAATCAATAATAATGTTAAACCAAAAAAATAAAAATCTTTATCAGCACAGCATAGGCTATTTAAAGGTAGGTAGGAGAGTTGTCAATAAGTGTGGGCAGCATTAATGAAACACTCACCTGATCTCAGACTTATTTTCAACAATGGAAGAAAGATCTGCAAAAACGAGGGTAGCTGTAAATCACAAGTTGCCTGTTTCCACATGCTTAATGAAATAACCTTAGGTTTTCATGCTTTCACAAATACTACAGTATCACCTATGATGGTAGAAAGGTTGGGTGGATGATGCGTGTTAATGTTTTCCGCATGGCTGTCTTCTAACAGGGTGGAATTTTTCACATGAAGATGAAGACCCAGCAAGTCATCCTCACTGGGAAAAGTCATTGTGTCCACTGTTAGATGATAAGACAAACAATGAAAACAACAATTTGGGTGGGAATACATCATTTAATCATGCTAAATGCTTTACATTGCCTTCAAAAAAATTTCAACTACTTTTCCACAATGTTACAGTCATCATCTTTAAGGTGTTCTTTATGGATTTTTCTTTTATTGATTAGCAAAGCATTCCATAAATATGTGAAATGATAGCAAAATGGTAGAGTGTTTATATTTTTTGATATATAAATCTGAAAATAAATCAGTTTGTCCTTTAGTATATATTCTGTTCTGCATACAGTACTGGACTTTGACTGGGCCAGAGTACCACATAATCTAAGTTGGACCTAAACCATTCCTGTCTGTTCAGCACTTTTTTGTCCAGCTAAAATCAGAATTTGATTTATTGCCAAGTAGGTTTGTGGTTACAAAGAATTTGACTTGGTGTTGATGGTGCAGACTAATTAGATATACATTCAGAATACAGAATCTATAGCTAAATACAATATAAAACATACAATACATATAGTATATAGCCATATACTACATACACAGTAGAACTGTGCGTTAATGTAAAGGAGGAGGTCTGGACATATTATGTTGTGTAGCTCGTATGTCCTGAATGGGGGAGGGAAAGAGGGAGTGTCAGTGTCACGGGGGTCTCTGGGTCTTGTTTATAAGGCTGGTAGCGGATGGGAATAAACTGTTCTTGTGGCCTGTTGGACTGCAGCCCCCTGCCAGATGGAATTGACTGAAATAGTTTGTGGCTGGGGTGCAAGGGATCAGCAACAATGTTCCTGTCAACCATTGCCTATTGACAAAGATTTTGACTCTAAAATCCCTCTTTAAGAGGTTTCTCTACCTGGCTTCCCTAGTTTCTAAAACAACAACACGATAATGGGAAACTAATTATAGCAGACTTTTTGTTGTGTGTCTCGTGGAATACACTGATGTTTGATGTGCAGCACGTCTAGAATGTTAAAATGTCCATGGTTTTCATTTCCAAAGCCAATTTATAAAACCATTCACTTACCACTCACTTCTTTTCTAAAGATCTCTGGGGAAGAAAAGCTGCTAAGGGATGTTGAAGCAGAAGAGTTAATGCAATCATCTTCATCATCATCATCATCCTCCTCCTCCTCAGTCTCTGATTCTAAAGTAGAGTCTGCCTCGGTGATGCAAGATGGCCCACTTTCTGGAGTGCCATCACCTTTAAGGGCCTCTGGAATGAGTTGGGCCTGAACTGCTGGGGGAGCTTCTCCTGAGAAGTTTTGGTGCACAGATTCTTTAACAACTGATTTCCCAGATGAAGTTCCTCTGTTTCTGGTCAACCCAGAGCGCCTTAAGCATGGCACAGGAGCGCCAAACTTAGAATGCAGAAGTAGAACAAATCAAGGTTAAGAAGCACTCAGCAATTCAGTAGCACCCAAACTTCTACAAGCTAGGAACTACAGGTCATAGCTAGATTTGAAAGTTTAGCTAAAAATGTGTTTCTCACTTACCCTCATTTGAATCACTGGTTTGACAGTGGCTTTGTTTATTTCTTCTTCCTCAGGCTCTTCTGGTAATGTGTCAAAGTATTTTCTAATCAGAAGCCTTTTATGTCCTAGGAGAGTCACATAAAACAATAATTAAATTTACCACATTCAAGTCTGCTTTCAAAGGATTTTTGACTAATCTGACTGCGAGTTACCTTTGGATCAACTCTAACTCAAAATCACTCTTAGAGCAGTCAAGCATGAGGCCTTCTTTGATGTATAAACATTAAAAGAAGGGCCATTCAGCTTATCTTTTATGGCTAATCATATAAAGAAGGGTTTTTAAATATACATTATGTTGAATTCATAGCAGCAGATAAAAATCGCAATAATCTGGAAATCAAAATTGGATACATCTTGGCTTTGACCTTCCAAATTTAACAAAGTTAGACATTGTTTATATGGCAGCGTTTAAAACCAAACACAGCTCAATAGCCAACAATGCAAAAAAAAACAAAAACAAATAAAACTAAATAAAGGGCAGATTTAAGTAAATGCATTTTAGGTAGCTTTGAAAACAGACTAAATAGTCTACTAAAAGGAAATAAAACAAAAGTCTGAGAGCCAATGAATGGTTCAGAACTTAAATGAGATTTGTATGTTCCTACAGTTTGGAAATACCTCTAAACCTTGGCTGCAACACAAAATAAACATTGCATGAACACTTATACTACTATAGAAAACACTTATAATGATTTCCCAGTGTAGTAATAAAAGCATACCTAAAATAGAGGAATTAGATCTGGATCACTCTATATATTCTGTAAAGCAGAGATTGTGATTTTAAAAGCTTTTATTCAGTTTAACAGAGTTTGAAAATCTTTAGTATGTTGGCATCTGGATCACCTTAATTTAAGAAATTTTAAAACCAGCATAATAGTGTGAAATCTGATTAAAAGTAGTACCCAAATACAGTTTATAATATATTTGAAACATGGTTCATAGCATGTGAACTTCTCATTCATTCAGTCTTTTTTTTGTCACCTCTTTTTTTTTTGTTTTCTGTCAGACAAAATCACATTAACCATATATACACGTATATATATATATATATGTTTTGTTTAATAAACATTCAGATGTGACTAACTGTAATTCAAGTATCCTATTCTTTATTAAGTTAATTATATTACAACCAATTAATGTTTAACGTTGTTAAAACGTTTAAACATTAAATGGCAAATTCAATTGGCCTTTGTGGAGCCTTCTAAAAAGACCTTTTATTTACAGTTAATAAAAGGAAACATTTGACCTAAGAAAAAATTCGCTTCTGCAAGTACAAAATTATAAAACACATAAAAAAGAAAGAAAGTTTTTCTCATATCTGTTGTTTTTTGTGTGACAGTTTCTTACTCGCTCTCCTCTTTACGGGTGTATCTCGTCTGCAAGCAAACACATAACCATGACGAACTTTGACCTGGCGTTTGGGCTGACTCATCTCCTTTTAGTCCATTTTCATTCAGATATAACTCCCTTATTTAAATTAATTTGAAGAAAGGAATCAGCTAAAAGCTTAAAATAGCTTTCGTACAGCGCCAATCTGGGCGTTGCTAGGCAACAACGCACACCTGTTCTGATTCTTCTTCTTCTTATTATCATTATTTTTTTTTTTATTGGCGGATGGCAACCAGTTTAAGGCGCATTTACCGCCACCTACCAGACTGGAGTGTGGTTATCAATGACGTCAGAGGGAATTCATACCTCAATGGTATGAACGAATGCGAATATTATCAATATCTATACAAACTTACATATAAATTAATATGTGTGTATATTTACATGCATGCACACACTTATATTCTTTATTTAAATACGATTAAATAATCCAGTGTTTTTTTTTTTAAATCTAATTGACTGATTTCTTGCAGAATTACCTGTTCTGATTGATTAGTAAGTAAAGGTTTGGTTTGTATGCTTTCCGTTTTAAGGTTAAAATAGATCCTAACATAATTTATTTTGGGTTCTATTTCTATCTTATATCATAAAGTGAGCATCCTGTCTATAAACACTATAATTTGTTTTTTTTTATCAACATGCCTGAAGAAAACTGGAGGAAAACTACTAGTCAGACCAAATTAGAGAGTACCATTGTTTACCACAGGGTGGCAGTATCCTACAGGCTTAAGCATAAGCTTTCTTTCTTAAAATAATAAAAGGAAACAAAGCAATAAAAAAACAGGGAGAAATGAAAATAAGAGATTTCTGTTTTTAAATACTCCTACACAGGGACCCAGTTCTTTGACCATAATTTAGTGTAACTGAAGCGCATGCTAATTTCTAAAATCCCATAGATGTTTTATGCTGATGAAGACTCTCAGTCATCCAGGTAATTACATAGATGTTTTCCAATGTAATTCATTATCACCAAACACATATTAACAAAATAGAACATATAAAGAAAAACACATATTCTTAGAACAGATGCATAATAAAAGATACAGGATTTTTATGCGGAACGAAACTTACTGCATATCAGTGAAAGCATCTCCCCAACGATCATGTGTGGAGGAGGGGAGGTAAGTTTATAGTCAGAGCACCATTCATATACAAAGTGTTATATATTGCTAAAGCAACTTAAAGATAAAAGGGGGATTGTGCCACAGATATGGGACTTGGGCAACTTGTAGTAATGGACTAATTATTAACCTTTCTGTGTAACACATTAATCTGTGGTCAATTGGGAGACCATACATCCTGCAGCTAAATCTTAGCTGGGAGTGTTAATCAAAACAATGAACCAAATATAAAATATATTGGTGAAAAGTAGACGATGATGTCGCAGGGGTCCTATTAAAGTTGACTAAACCAACATGAATGACACAAATTTAAATTGACAAGAGGAACTCAAGTGAACTGTATACATTTTGGAAGAGAGGGAAATTGCTCAGATCACCTTCCTGTTTTTCTTGTGTCAAAATAACCCGCCACTGTGTTAACCCCCCCACAAAATCCAATAAATGCAACAGGAAGTTGAATGGGTTATGTTATTTTTTGATATTTTTGTTTCCTATATGGGCTTAAATTGCTGCATTTTATTCATTGGGATGATAAAATGCATTCAAAACTCCTTTTAGCAATTTTTTAAGCTATATAAATTCAAGTGAAGAGGGTATATTCAAGTACTGACAAATGTGGTGAATGACAAATTCAAGATGAGGTTTGGTGTTTAAAATTCAATTAAGCTGCTTATATTGGGGGTTTAGTGAAGACGGGTTATTTTGAGCTGGAGGACACAGGATGTATACAGAAAATGAGGACAACATGGAGGTTGATAAAGTTTATTATCCAAGGAAATCCAACTGACTGCAATAAAAACAGCTATTCCCACCTCTGTTAAAATATAGATTTTTATGTTTAAATCATATGAAATATTTTGGTTATCTTTCAGCATGAATAGAATAAACGGTTAATTCTGGTCATCTATGTTTAGAGCTAGATTATATGACCCAGATTATATAATTCATAAGGGTGATAGGGAATGCAACCTTTGTGACTATATGACAGGAAATGTTTTCCAAACTTTCATACACCTTGATGGTGTTAACTCACTCCTTTGGAAAGTGGTCTTAGGTTATCTTTCCAAATATTTTATTTAGAACAACCGATCGAAAACAAAAAGAGACACCAGACTCATTTAAAACCATTCCAGAATATCTTTTATTTCACTGCCCTGCACCCGTTCCCCCGACCTCCCTCATCCCTTTTGCATCGATCAATCATTACAAGGATATGGTGCTGATTCCATTGTACATCAGAATACATAAATAAATAAGGGACAATTCTTCCTACAACACGCAAAAAAAGAGAGAGAGGAACAAAAAAGAAAAACAAAATCAATCATACGGCTGATTTTAATAAATATGCTTACATCTAACCTGTCCTCGTTTATTTACATCCACATTGTTTATGCTTTGGGACGGTAATCAACTTTAAAAGCATTTGCATTACTACTATATGTAAACCCTTCAAACAAAACAGATGTACCCTATGTTTTAAAATAGTTGTTTGTTCTATTAACTTCCATTTACGGTACTTGATCAGGGGTACATAACCCAGTAACCTGAAATGGTTTAACATATTTAAACCGTTTTCATTGAAAGTCAGAGGGTCTCAGTATTGCATGGCAAACTGCATGCTTTGCCCTAATCCCTGGTTTTGCATTCATTTTATTCAGTCTTTTTTTGTTGTTGTTGCTCATTACCAGACCTCTTCTTTTTGCAGAAATGAATGGAAAAATCAAGCAGTGATTGCACCAGCTGAGATGACAGCTTAATCTGGGCCAGATCTTTACAGTGAAAAAAGTGCATGCATGTTGAATGTCTGGCCACAGTCCCCTCATGATGACCCTTCCTACAATGAATGGGTTAAAAACAGAGTTTAAGTGGAGGAAATGCCCCCCCCATCCACAAAACAGGGGAGTGATTTGAAGGATTTTTGCAGAAGCTCCAGGTTCACATTGTTCGGTCCGCGCTGTAGGACTGTAGGCTGTAGGAGAGCCTCTGATTGAATTGCAGGTTTTTCTTTCCACTTGTAGCTACTCTACACACAATTACATCAAACTCGTGATCAGACACTTTGTTGGTTGTGTAGCTGTTTAAACTGATGGCGAGGGGAAGAGAGGGAGAGAAAAAGGGGAGGGACGTTCTGCTCAGTGCTGGGTTTTTTTCCCCCTGCTACGAGGATCTGAGCTGATTTGTTTAGATAAATAGCAGGTAGCAGTGTTGGTAAGATTTAAAATGCCTAATTTAAAACCAATATAAAAAAAAGACATAATGGAACACGATGCACATGGTCATATGTATTTCTTAGGAATTTACTGTTTCATTCTGATAAAAACGAAACAAAAAAAATAAATAAAAGAAAGCACTGCTTTGCATATGCGGTACATGCAGTTCTATGCTTTCATCTGCTGGACAGTTCAGTGTTTAACACTGATTTGTTTCTTGTGTTTTGAATTGTTATATGTGGCAAATTAATGACACAAAGAAAACTTATTTTCTCAAGCATATAGCTCTGTATATTTATGCAGCAAATGCAAAAAATAAAAATAAAAAAATGAAGAAATAAATATGACGATGTGAAGTGTCAGGTTTTTTTTTTTTTAAATTCCTAGTTTAAGTTGTTCTGAACAGCCAGTTTAAATCCTCCACATTTAGGACAGTTTTGGTTTACTTTCCCAAAGCATGGTTCTGGGATGTAGAATTGTCCCTCTGCAGGTCTAAGCAGATCTTTAGCGTCAGGATGCTCATGGCGGCCTTCACATGGAGATGCTGCTGTAGAGATCGTCGATCCTCTTCTTGAAGAACTCCTTCAGCTCAGGTCGTTTGGCCTTCAGCGTTGGCGTCAAGAGCCCGTTCTCGATGGAAAACATCTCATTGTGGATGTAGATATTCTTTACCTTTAAAGAGACATAAAAACAGAGTTAGGGACCGGTTTGTTCCCCTAGCAGGTTCCACCTCTGCCACATTCGTTTTGCAACCATCAACAAGCTCCTGGGAAGATTTTAACCACTCTTATTGGGAGAATCAGAGGTATTCACTTAAATTTGTTGGCTTAGTTGAAAGGATACAGCTTTTGTTGTTGCATCACAAATTCTTAATAGGCCTGAGGAAGCCCCATTAGCTTGTTTTAACACTTTCAAACCCAGAGAGGTGAAACTTTGGGGTCTTTTCTCATGGAATAGTTTCTAAATGTTTAACATCTTACTCAAACCTTTTCCTATAGAAGGAAGATGTCTTATTTGTTTGGATATTTAAGAATAGCTGTTTAAAAATACAAGCCTTCTATAGAGTGGAGCTCTGGTCACACTGTCCACATTAGCCAGTTTCACATTAACATGGACTGATCAACATCTCACATACTAAATCTACTTTTTTTTCTCCCTATGACAAGTCAAATGGATTCCTGAAAAGGTTAAAGGTCAGATGAGATCAAAACTGTATTTTCAAGATGTGAAAAAAGCCCATTTGAAGCAATCAAAGTTTTGAGAACGCAGCACCAACTGCAGAGCACCAGAGTGGCAGAATTGTAAAGGGGAAACCCTTGTTAGCACATTTTCTTAGACTTGGTTTTCTTCAAACCATTTTACTTTTTTGGTTGTATGTTATGTACTCCAAAACCAAAATGTTCTCAGGCTTGTAAGCTTACCATTAAAAAAGACCAACATGGCAAAACGCTGTGACTGCAGTTTAAGCTGACCACATGCTACCAAAAATGGAGGTCTTTGCGCCTTTTTGCATTTACAAACTGCAATCAGGCGTATTGTTTTGTGACTTAGATGCAGGGAGGAACCTCTGCAGGTTTTCAAAGACCAATGGATTTCATGCCATCTTTGCTTCTTAGTTCCTGGAAATACAGTTAAAAAAAGACATGTCTCTTACCTGCTCAAAAGACAGGAGGCCATTGACTTTACCCAGACGCACCAGATCTTCAAGGATGGCCTTCTTTAGTTCCTGTAAACAGAAAGGATATATATGCATCAGTGCTGGATTTAAATCAGCTACAAAATCTTTTAACTTGTTTTACTTACCGTGTTTTTACAGAGGTCCTTGTAGGTTCCCAGGATGCCTTTCTTCTTGGCCCACTCAGGCATCACTTCAGGATCAGGGACCACAATTCCCACCAAACAGGACTAAAAAAAAACAATCCCACTTTTAATCCAAAAAGAAATTACTTAAATAAAAAATCCTTTACCTAAAGCTAAGAATGAATTATCGTGGGCCGTAGTATGATGAAGTCCTACCTGCAGACTATCTCCATGAACATACAGCTGTGCCACCGGTTCACTCCTGATGTAGATGTTTTCAATCTTCTCAGGGGAGATGTACTCGCCCTGCGCCAGCTTAAAGATGTGCTTTTTCCTGTCGATGATCTTCAGCGTGCCATTCTTCAGCAGGCAAGGTAAAGAAAACATGAAAAAAATGATCTTCATGTAATCACAACAGCATTTTGAACTTCTCTATGATACGGTGGAATGTGGTAAACTTTATGTACGTACAGGTAACCATTTGCCGATATCTCCGGTGTGTAGCCAACCGTCTGTGTCCAACGTCTCGGCAGTTCTCTCTGGGTCTTTGAGGTAGCCTTTAAACACATTTGGTCCCTTCACACAGACCTGGATGAAAAAAGGCCCATGGGATTAAGGCCATGCATGAAACATACAGCAATTACCTCTTAACATTTATATTTCCTTACCTCTCCCTCACCCTTAGATGCAAAGTAGTTCTTCTCAGGAACATCCACCAGTTTAATGAGGTTACACGGCAGTGGAGCCCCAACATGTCCTATTAATCAGATTAAATAAAACAGAAACAATTTCACTTTTACTGAGTACCAGCTACTTATTTTCTATAAATGAAAATAAACCAAGATCTGATTATGTAATGCAGATATTCATAAAAAAAAAAAAAATAGATAAACAGCAGAGGGTGGTGTTGTACCTTCTTCATTACTAGTTGTACAGCGAAGGGATCTCTCTTTGCTTTTCAAAGAGTATTGAAGCACACGTGTTTATAAAAGTACTGAATAACTTTTGGAAACATGACTCGGCAAAAATCTTGGCTTAAAAGTTACTATAGTGAATAATTAACAGAATTGGCTTGCTTTGTATGCCCCTGTAGGTACCTACACCGTCCTTAGATACAGTTAATCCATTTTCTTTAGGTTGCCCACTTTGTAGATCATGTGAAGGCATCAACTGAACTGAGAAATTATTTTATTAGGATAATAGGTAACCATAGTGTTTTAACTGTTGGAATCATAATAACAGTAATAGCATAAAGTTTGGGGAAGACAAAATACAGTGCTGTATATTTTGTCACTTCACCACCAAAAACCTCATCTTAGTTTCAAGACAGGTAGATTTGGGTTTTCATGGCGTTTTATCAAAATATGGATTTAAAATATTTATATTTCTCTTTAACTGAAAACGTTTTAGAAGGTAAATATACATTCTGACAAATCCTAATTATTATTATTTTTTTCCTACAAGGTAAAGTGTGATCGTGCAGGTTTACAGTCCTGCTGTATGTAAAACAATACAGCATTCTCCATTTACTAAACCCTTTTGGGGAATTTGAAGAATGATAACTGGAGAATTCCAAACATCTTTTGAAGATCTTTTCATTTAAAAAGTCTTCTCCCAGAAACATTTCACTACTGAGAATCGACAACGCATGGGTGGCGGGATGAAAGAAATGCATGCACTGGCTGAATTTTAACAGCTTTAAAAGAAACCCAGAGGGAGATTATTTAGAATATTACATCACAGGAAGGCTAGGCCATTAAAAAGAAACAAAAAAACAAACAAAACACAATTAAACTAAACTTCACTCCTACAGCTTTTGGTCCTGGTTTTTAGATGTTTTGTAGGTGCTTTGATTCATAAGGCTGCTGCTATTTTTCCTTCTTTACAAAGCGGATAGGAACTTCCTTACTCCCCCCTCCCGATCCTTTAATCATACACTGGAAAAAAGGGGAAAAACTGCAAGACTGTCTGAGCTGTTACATCACCATGACACCCACACAGAGAGGAATTCAGTTGTATATCCAAAGTTTCATGCAGGACATAAACAACAGATTCCCTTTAGGACGCTTATAACCATAATGACATTAATCAGTCTGCTTTTCAAACACCGGGGTTGATTATTCCCCAAACTTACAGCTCACTGTCATCACTTTTTGATCTCTGACCGGTGACTTGAATCTAGCAAACAAGCTCAGCAGTTTCAGCAGAGATTAAGATCTGTTTCTCTTATCAAGGCCTGCTGTTTACCTGAGGTCCAGTCTCCAGGTGTGGTGTAGGTACATCCAGCCGTGCACTCTGTTTGTCCGTACGCTTCATATACCTACAGAGGAACATCAGGAAGGCACATGTCAGCAACCCTCCTGCCGTTTACTGTTTTGATAAACTGTGAAGATCAGATTTAAATGAATAAGACATGAGTGCCTGAGGTGCATTGTTGTGGTGAAAAGGCAGTTTGTGCTGCAGCCCTTCTGCATCCCACTCATCAGTTCATCCCAACTGATGTTCGGCTGCATCAGTAAATGTGAATTGAGTGCGGTATGCGTGAGTTAGTGAGTGTGTGTCTGACCTGGCAACCAAGAGCTGCTCTGAGAAAACTCAGGACGCTGGGTGAGGTAGGAGCTGCTCCTGTTATAATCATCCTCAGCCTTCCTCCCAGGCTGGCCTGTACCAAGACCAAGCATATCGATTAGACAGAGGAAGCTTAGTGATGTTGTATACAAGATTTTAGACAGAAAACTTAGATAATAGCAACAAAACAAGACCATTTTTCAGTTAACCCTTTTAATATTTAACATCACTGGGACAATTTTTTATAATTAAGCTTCATACTTCTTCAACAGCGTTTACACCTATTGCCAATCTGGTTTAACTGCAT